TCGGTCGAGCGAAGAAAAGCTCGGTCGAGCGAAGAAACCCAAAACATAGACCTCGCTCGCTCGAGCGAAGGAAAGCTTGCTCGAGCCAAGAAATGCAAATCTCAAGTCCAAAACCAGACGCAGACGCAGGCTCGAGCGAAGGAACCTTGGCTCGAGCCACCAAACACAACACCCAACACTCGCTCGAGCGACAAAAGCCTCGCTCAAGCGAAGAACCAAAATTCTGGGCAGCAACCATTTGCTCCCAGTCACATCCAACCTGTAACAATCCTGCCCAAAACATCCTATAACTCAAATACAAAGTATTAAAGGACGGAAACAAGATATATACAACATCCCACACCACGGAACCTAAGCCCGGGATACAATAATGAATGGAGGGAAAACCGGGGTCGCTATACTTCCTCTCTCTTATCCTCCATCACCACGGCGGAAACCTCTTCGTCCCTTCTCTTTTGTCTCTTTTCTTCCTCTCTCTCTTCCCCTCCATCAAGAATGTATGGATTTTTTCGGTCTTGAAGTATGTTTTGATTACAAGCAAGAGAGAGATATGTGTTAGAGATGGTTCGGGTTTTCATTGTTTCTTGAACGGTCAATTAATACTCGTGCAGAGATCATTGGTGACAAGCTATACTAATTAACCCTTTTGTTTTTGGTGTTTTGGAAATACTGTTTTCATATATATTTTTTCTTTCTCATTTTTGGATCAGTAGATAGTCTCGTGCTATTGTAAAATGGAAATACTTGGGACCCCGATGTAGCGATCTTGATTTTTCGTAAATCTTTATTATTATTATTATTATTATTATTATTACGATCATCATCATCATCATCATCATCATCATCATCGTCATCTTATTTTATTTTTGATTTTATTAATTGTGTGGTTACATGAGAATTTAATGTGGTATTTAATTAATTTAATGTGATAGTTAATTTTATGTAATTAATCCGAATATTGATATATTTATTATTTTGTAATAAAAAAAAGTATTTTATATATTGATAAAACATATATATCATATTTATTTATGTGGTATTTATAAAATATAATATAATACTAAATGTTAATTAGGTTATAAGTACTTAGAGAGGTGTTGAAAAAAAGAAAAGAAAAAAAAAACAAGGGTGAATTACAGTAACGATCCCTATAGTTTGGGACTTGTGTCATTTTGGTCCTTAACTTTTCGATTGTGACACATTTGACCATGAATTTTGAATCTTGTTCCAAATAACGACAATTGAAGATATTATTGGATTTTTCAAGGGCAAAATCGTCAATTTGATAAAATATAATTAATTTGACAAAAATAAATGTTAAAAAATTATTTTTGAATTTTTAAAAATTATTTCTACCTACTAAAGATAAAATTTTATAAAATTGATAAGCCTTTTAGACATTTATTTCTTTTTTTTACCAAATTAATTTTTATTATGTATTTGGATGATGATCATGTAAAATTAATTTTTAAAAATTAATCATGTAATTTTTATTAGTTTTTATCAATTTTACATAATTTTATTTTTGGTGGATAGAAATAATTTTTAAAATTTTTGAAATATTGTTTTGAAATTTATTTTTGTCAAATTAGTTTATATTTTATCAAATTAACAATTTTCCCTTGAAATTAAGCAATAGTAGGTTAATTGTCCTTATTTAGAATAAGATTCAAAATTCATAGTCAAATATGTCACAATTGAAAAGTCGAGACTAAAGTGACACAAGCCCCAAACTATAGGGACTATTAATGTAATTTGCCCCAAAAAAAAAATGAGGTGAGAGAGAAGGTCGAGAGAAAGAGAGACTATGATCAGGGGTTGTTGTTAAGAAGAGAGAGAAAAAAAGAAAAAGAAAAAAGAGAGACGACAGGTGGAGGAAAAAGGAAGAAAATAAAAAGGGGATTAGGGTTTTATTTTGGTGGCTCTATTAGTTAATCAAATATTTCTTTAATCTTCAAAAAAAAATATTGTGAGTGCAAAATCCATTTCCCTTGATTTATGTTTAATTCGTTATTTTTATTTATTTATTTTTATTTATTTGATATTTGTTTGATTTTGTATTTGCATGTAGATGATGGATTGATTTTAATTATCTTGATTAGTTGTGTGTGCCAAGTTTAGGATTTTTATATGTATTTATTTTATGATTGTAATCACACTCATGGATATATGAAATTAAAATAAATTAGGAACTCATAGATAAATTTCTTATACTCCACCATGACTCCATTGATTGTTGTTTTATTTGAGTGTTGGTGAGAAAGAATGTATAAAAAAAGTGAGGATTATGAGATTTATTTGAATGCCTTAGACTTGGCATTGTTATGTTTGTTCTCATGAGTAAGATGTTTTGTATATGTATATTGTTGCTTTGTTCTCAGGAGTAGACGAGTGCTTTGATTTACGCGCGTACGTATATGCTAACCATCCAGGGAGTGTGGGTCAAACTTGGGACGATATTCCCCTGCAAGTTTGGCTTCGGAGCGGTGTTAGGTATACGGAAGGCACATGGGATATATGTGTAGGCCGGAAGTGAAGGGCCGAAGTGGTGGAGTTAAGGTACAAAGAATTAAATATGAGTTTTATTGTTATAGTGTGAATTATATTGATTTGTACATCTTGAAACAAATAATAATCGACCTCAATAAATTACGAAATTTGGGCAGAGGCATGTGTACGTAATTCTAGACAACTTTTGTATTTTAACTTTTTATTAAAAAGATCGATTAGAACTTGTAATCGGATGATCTTGATTACAATAGTTTTTATTCGTTTTAGCAATGCAGATTTTAGATGCTGTTTTAACCCACGAAACGAGCTTATTTTTATTGGTTTTCCATCAATTTAAGTAAAACATTATTCTGAACACTTTTCATGTTTTGAACTTTTCCGAAAAAAATCATCTTAGGGCAGTTTCTTTTCATTTTCAATTCTAAATTTTTCGATTGAATTCCGTCTAGGTTTTTCTATCAAGTTTTTCTCTCAACCTGTTCAGTTTTTACTAAATTCCTTTGCATTGTCTTGTAAAAAATTTGATTTTGTACAACTTTTGTTCTTTGAGTTTTGGTCATTTCGAATTATTTAAGCATGAAACGGTACATTTTTATACTTCTTCAATATGTTACTTATGATTAAATTATACTAACTTTATTTTTTGCAGAATGGTGGGTCTTACTAACTATTTATGCATGGCTGACCCACCATATTTGTATTTTTATTTTTATTTTGTTCATTTTATATTCAATTTATATTTCATTGTGTACGAGCAAGAAACTAAATGTCACCATATCTCGGGAAACTGCCTATTCGTCTTGATACGGATGGAACTGCCTATCTTGTTCCGTAACAAGAATTAAATGTATTTTTGTTTGTGTTAGGTGGACACGTGGGTGTCAAATATTTGTACTGGTACCAGTAAACTTGTATGCTGACCCATTTTGTCTCTTGGCATCTCGGGTGCATTTTGTTTGAGTGCAGCCGGCCTTCTTTTGCAGGATTAGTTGGGACTACGATGGTAAAGAGAAATAACTATAGTTGTTGAACATGTCGTTTAGGCTTCTTTTGTTTTCTTGAGTTTAGAGTTGATATTAGTTTATGTATTTATTATTATTTTTTTATGACCTTAGTATTTTAATAATTTGGCATAGTTTGTAACTTTACATTATTTAAGTTATTTTGACTATTTATTGTTACTTTAATGTTGGAGGTATTGGTTAGTTATGAAATTATAGTGGATGGTTTGGTTGGCGTTTTGTTAGTTTTTTTTATCCCTTGTAATCTTTTGAGGATGGAAATTTACTTAAACCCTTTGGAGACGTGAACGTTTAGATTTTGTTTAACCCTAAGATTTGGATAATGGAATATTGATTGGGGTTTAGTTCTAATTTAATATTTAATTGTCTAAATTTTGGGACATGACACCCAAAATGAGACCCTCAATGATGTATGGAGCAATCATTTTTTTTTTTTTGTTTGTTTGAGGGGGGAATTGATGTGGACCAATCACAGATAAGTGGGGATTATATTTTTTGGGGTCGATATCATTTCTAATTATAAAAATATTTGTATTTTGACTCTGAAATCTGCTTTTGAAATGATTTCGAAGCATTTTCTATGTCTAGAAATCTCTGCAACTTCACATGTGCATGTATATATACAGTGAGTTAGAATTTGTGAAAATCATTCAGGTTGTTCATTGGAAATTCTTGTCTCTTAAATCTATTTTTTAACAATAAAACAAAAGAGTGAAATTGTTTCAATAGATCAGGTCTGCGTTGAATAGATAAAAAAATTCAATTGCTATTTTAATAGATAAAAAAATTTGTACAAATAAAAAATTAGACAGATAAAATTTGGATAGAAAATTTGTATAGATAAAAATATTGAGCACATAAAAAACTAGATAAGTAAAATTTGGACAAATAGGAAATTTGCACAAATAAAATTTGGATAGACAAAAAATTTACACAAAAAAATTTGAACTGATAGAAAATTTACACAGAAAAAAATTGAACAAATAGACAAAAAAATTTTTGAACAGATAGTCAACAAAAAGTCAAGCAGATAAAAAAAAGTTAAAGGGTAAAATTAGAAACAAAATGTCCTCCAGAACTTCTCACCATATTTCATAGAGTGTGGACCAATCACACACACACACCCCCACCACCACCCAAAAAAAAAAAAAAAAAAAAAAAAAAAAAACACTAGACCTAATGCCTTAGACAATTGTTAAAGTGGATTTTTTTTTTACCAATTTTCTCAAAAATATATATAATAAATTCATATGATATTAAATTATAACTTAATATTAGAAATAATTATTATAGAATTAAAAGGGATTTTAATTATTTAAGAAATTCAATATAATTAATATTATAAATAAGATAGACATAAAAATAAGAAATAATTTTAATATTTTATTAAAAAAAAAGTGAAAAAAGTATAATATAATTAATTGGTAAAATGCTTAGTATGTATAATTTTTTACCAATTTGCTCTACAGCAGTCCTGATTGAGTAATCTTTTGTCATGCTCTCAAAATGCTTCTTCCCTTCTTCTACTAAACCTGAATGCCTACAAGCTGTTGAAACAGAAATGAAGGTGAAGCTATTTGGCCAAATTTCTTCCTCTTTCATCTTTGTGAAGAGCATCAGAGCATTGTCCCCATGCCCATGAGATGCACAGGCCCCTATAATTGAAGTCCAGGACACAACACTTTTATGAGGCAACTTGTCGAAAGCGTCCCTTGCCAAAGCTATGTTTCCACATTTTGCATACATGTCAATTAAAGCGTTAGTAATTGAAACATTAGTTTCAAGACCTTTGTTCCTCACAAGCTTATGTATCCATTTCCCAGTATTGAGTGCTCCTAAATTAGCACAAGCTGATATAACACTAACCATTGTGATGTAATCAAATTCTACCTTTTCAATTAGCATTCTACGAAAGAGCTTAATGGCATACCGATCAGCATTAGTCTGTTCATAAGCAGCAATCATGGCATTCCACGAGACCAGGCGTTCGACTGGCATCTGATCAAACAAAGATCTGGCAGTATCAACAATTCCACACTCACCATAAAGAGCGATTAAAGTGTTAATCAGAAAAATATCAGAGTCCACCCCCAATTTAACAGCACAACCATGAACCAATTTCCCCAAGTTCAAAAACTCCAAACCAGCACAGGCGGGAAGAATGCTCACGAGTGTAATTGCATTCAGTTGAGTCCCGAAAGCTATCATCTAACAAAAAATGCCCAACCCTTTTTCAAAAAATCCATTTTGCACATATCCTGCAATCAATGTAGTTCCTCACTGTTAATGTATATGCGGTATTCCTAGATATATTAGGTATTGATTTCTTAGATATATTTGAAAATAGCCATAGTTAGATTTCTAATAGGATACTATTTCCCAGCCTATATATACAGGTTTTCTATTGTATAGGATTAATTCATTCAACACAATACATTAAATACAATACATATTATTTACTCTCTCTCTCTACTATTCAAACATGGTATCAGAGTCAGGTTAAGTACCGAGTAATTTCACTTCACCGGCAGGTGACAACCTTGCCTTGGCCGCCCGCCGGACCTCAACCTATTTTGCTGTCATATTTTCCTGTCAGTATCGCTTCGTGGTGATCTTTTCCTTTATTCACTGGTTTATTTCTACCTCAAATAGCTCTATTATATATGTATAGATTTTTTTTTTAACTCGTAATCCATTCACTACAACAAAAAAGGCCTTTGGTGACAGACTGATTTTGTCTCCAAACATCAAATTTTTGTCACTAAAGTGATCTACGACGAAAAAAATTTGTCACCCCGTTCGTGGCCTATACGTCGTCGCTGAAAGTACCTGGTGATGAAAAACAGTTTCGTTGCCTATTTTTCATTTTTGGCGACGAAATGTTTCGTCTCCAAATGTTGAATTTTTCGTCCTCTAAAACATCAATTTCGTCATCAAAACTAAATAATATTTTATTTTAATTGTTTTTGGCGACGAAATATTTCGTCACCAAATATATTTTAGTAACGAAAGTTTTCCTCACCAATGATATGGATTAAGGTGACAAAAAAATTTGTCACTAAAATGAGCAAAAAAGAAAATTATTCAATAACAAAAAACATTTTGTCACCAAATATTTCAATTTAGTGACGAAATATTCAGCAAATGTGACGAAATTATTTGTTTTGTACTATATCATTAGTGACAAAATTATTCATCATGTTTTTTGAAAACTAATAGTGACATATTTTATTTCGTCACTAATAAAAATTAAAAAATTTGAAAATGGGGGTACTATTTTCTTCCGAATTTTTTTCTTTTCAGTAACAATTTCCTGCGCATTTCAATACCTTGTTCAATAAAATATCTATTACAAATCAATACAAAAATCTGTTTATTTTCATGAACATCACAATCGAATTTCAGCACTATCCACAAAAATACAATATGAACTGCATGCGGATTATAAACATGTCTCCTAATATCCACAAAAAACATCTACTAATATCCACAAAAATATAATATCAACCGCATGTGGATTACCAAACACATCTCCTAATATCCAACAAAAAACATGTCTACTAATATCAACAAAAATAAAATATCAAGGGCGGATTACCAAACATGCCCTGTAATACCAACAAAAATATAAAATTTATAACGCAACCAAAATACATATAAGGTAATATGAACAAAAACACAAAATGAGCTACTATCTGTCCTCCAAATTACCAAACATGTCCATATCAAATCTCGAATCTGCAAAAAAATGAAACACAAAAAAAAAAAAAATGATAGTTAAACAATTATTATCTTATCCATAAAATATACAATTTAACATGCATTTTTCAAATTAGTTTTCAAATCGGGAGTTCGGTGCAAGTTCCGTTAGTTTTCACAACTTACATTGGTTCCTCCCGACGTGTTTAAGGTGTTCCCCCAGGCCGTCCCGTGGCTGTTACACGATTTTGGCCCTCGAAGGTCTATTTTCAAGCTTAAGTGTGAAAAAGTGAAATTTTGGACTTAGTTTTCAAACCGAGAGTCCCGTGCTAGTTTCGTAAGTTTCCATAACTCACATTGGTCCCTCCCGAGGTGTTTGATGCTGTCTCGTGGTTGTTGCACGATTTCGGCCTCTCCGATGGCCTATTTTCAAGCTTAAGTGTGAAAAAATACAATTTTTGACTTAGTTTTGAAACCGGGAGTACCGTGCTAGTTCCGTAAGTTTCCACAACTCACATTAGTCCCTCCCGAGGTGTTTGAGATGTTCCCTAGGCCGTCTCGTGGCTGTTGGACGATTTTGGCCTCCGGTGGCCTATTTTGAAGCTTAAGTGTGAAAAAGTGCAATTTTGGACTTAGTTTTCAAACCGGGAGTCCCTTGCTAGTTCCGTAAGTTTCCACAACTCAAATGGGTCCCTCCTGATGTGTTTGAAGTGTTTCCCAGGCTGTCTCGGGGCTGTTGCACGATTTTGGCCTCCGGTGGCCTATTTTGAAGCTTAAGTGTGAAAAACTGCACTTTTCGACTTAGTTTTCAAACCGGGAGTCCCGTGCTAGTTCTGTAAGTTCCCACAACTCACATTGGTCCCTCCTGAGGAGTTTGACGTTTTCCCCGGGCCGTCTTGTGGCTGTTGCACGATTTCGGCCTCCGGTGACCTATTTTCAAGCTTAAGTATGAAAAAGTGTAATTTTGGACTTAGTTTTCAAACCGGGAGTCCCGTGCTAGTTTCGTAAGTTTCTATAACTCACATTGGTCCCTCCCAAGGTGTTTGACATGTTCCGCAGCTGTCTCGTGGTTGTTGCATGATTTTGGCCTCTGATGGCCTACTTTTCAAAAACGTGCATTTTTTGGCTTAGTTTTCAAACCGAGAGTCCCGTGCTAGTTCCGTAAGTTTCCACAACTCACATTGGTCCGTCCCGACGTGTTTGATGTGTTCCCCAGGCCGTCTAGTGGCTGTTGCATGATTTTGGCCTCCGGTGGCCTATTTTGAAGCTTAAGTGTGAAAAAGTACAATTTTGGACATATTTTTCAAACCGGGAGTCTCGTGCTTGTTCCGTAAGTTTTCGCAACTCGCATTGGTCCCTCCCGAGGTGTTTGAGATGTTCCCCGGGCCGTATCATGGCTCCTGCACAATTTTGGCCTCCGATGGCCTATTTTCAAGCTTAAGGGTGAAAAAGTTTATTTTTCGACTTAGTTTTCAAATCGGGAGTCCCGTGCTAGTTCCGTAAGTTTCCACAACTCGCATTGATCCCTCCCGAGGTGTTTGATGTGTTCCCTGGGCCGTCTCATGGTTGTTGCATGATTTTGGCCTCCGATGGCCTCTTTTCAAGCCTAAGTGTGAAAAAGTACATTTTTCGACTTAGTTTTCAAACTGGGAGTCCCGTGCTTGTTCCGTAAGTTTTCACAACTCGTATTGGTCCCTCCCGACGTCTTTGACGTGTTCCCTAGGCTGTCTCGTGGTTGTTGCACGATTTTGGCCTCCGATGGACTACTTTTCAAAAAAGTACATTTTTGGACTTAGTTTTCAAACCGAGAGTTCCGTGCTAATTCCGTAAGTTTCCATAGCTCACATTGGTCCGTCCCGACGTGCTTGACGTGTTCCCCGTGCTGTCTCATGGCTATTGCATGATTTTGGCCTCCGGTGGCCTATTTTGAAGCTTAAGTGTGAAAAAAGTGCAATTTGGGACATAGTTTTCAAACCGGGAGTCCCGTGCTAGTTTCGTAAGTTTCCACAACTCGCATTGGTCCTTCTCGAGGTGTTTGAGATGTTCCCCGGGCCGTATCGTGGCTCTTGCACGATTTTGGCCTCCGATGGCCTATTTTCAAGCTTAAGGGTGAAAAAGTGTATTTTTGGACTTAGTTTTCAAACCGGGAGTCCCGTGCTAGTTCCGTAAGTTTTCACAACTCGCATTGGTCCCTCCCGAGGTGTTTGACATGTTCCCCGGGCCGTCTGGTGGTTGTTGCACGATTTTGGCCTCCGATGGCCTATTTTCAAGCGTAAGTGTGAAAAAGTGCATTTTTCGAATTAGTTTTCAAACTGGGAGTCCCATGGTAGTTCCGTAAATTTCCACAACTCGCATTGGTCCCTCCTAATGTGTTTCACGTGTTCCCTGGGCCCTCTCGTGGTTGTTGCACGATTTTGGCCTCCGATGCCCTACTTTTCAAGTTTAGGTGTGAAAAAGTGCATTTTTAGACTTAGTTTTCAAACCGGGAGTTCCCTGCTAGGTCCATAAGTTTCCACAACTCATATTGGTCCCTCCCGAAGTGTTTGAGGTGTTCCCTAGGCCGTCTTGTGGCTGTTGCATGGGATTTTGGCCTCCGATGGCCTATTTTCAAGCTTTAGTGTGAAAAAGTACATTTTTGGACATAGTTTTCAAACCGGGAATCCCATGCTTGTTCTGTAAGTTTCCACAACTCACATTAGTCCCTGCCGAGGTGTTTGATGTATTCCCCAGGCCGTCTCATGGTTGTTGCACGATTTTGGCCTCCGATGGCCTACTTTTCAAGCTTAAGTGTGAAAAAGTACATTTTTGGACTTAGTTTTCAAATCGGGAGTCCCGTGCTAGTTCCGTAAGTTTCCACAACTCACATTGGTCCCTCCTGAGGTGTTTGACGTGTTCCCCAGGCCGTCTTGTGGCTGTTCCACGATTTTGCCCTCTGATGGCCTATTTTCAAGCTTAAGTGTGAAAAAGTGCATTTTTGGACATAGTTTTCGAATCGGGAGTCCCGTGCTAGTTCCGTAAGTTTCCACAACTCGCATTGGTCCCTCCTGAGGTGTTTGACATGTTCCCCAGGCCGTCTGTGGTTGTTGCACGATTTTGGCCACTAATGGCCTATTTTCAATCTTAAGTGTAAAAAAGTGCATTTTTTCAATTAGTTTTCAAACTGGGAGTCCCGTGGTAGTTCCGTAAATTTCCAAAACTCGTATTGGTCCCTCCTGACGTGTTTCACGTGTTCCCTGGGCCGTCTCGTGGTTGTTGCACGATTTTGGCCTCTGATGCCCTACTTTTCAAGTTTAGGTGTGAAAAAGTGCATTTTTGGACTTAGTTTTCAAACCGGGAGTTCCGTGCTAGTTCCGTAAGTTTCCATAACTCACATTGGTCCCTCCCGAAGTGTTTGAAGTGTTCCCTATGCCGTCTCGTGGCTGTTGCACGGGATTTTGGCCTCCGATGGCCTATTTTCAAGCTTTAGTGTGAAAAAGTGCATTTTTGGACTTAGTTTTCAAACCGGGAATCCCGTGCTTGATCCGTAAGTTTCCAAAACTCACATTAGTCCCTCCTGAGGTGTTTGACGTATTCCTCGGGTCGTCTTGTTGCATGATTTTGGCCTCCGATGGCCTACTTTTCAAGCTTAAGTGTGAAAAAGTGTATTTTTTGACTTAGTTTTCAAATCGGGAGTCTCGTGCTAGTTCTGTAAGTTTCCACAACTCACATTAGTCCCTCCCGAAGTATTTGAGGTGTTCCCTGGGCCGTCTCGTGGCTGTTGCACAGTATTTTGGCCTCCGATGGCCTATTTTTAAGCTTTAGTGTGAAAAAGTGCATTTTTGGACTTAGTTTTCAAACCGGGAATCCCGTGCTTGTTCCGTAAGTTTCCACAACTCACATTAGTCCCTCCTGAGGTGTGTGATGTATTCCCCAGGCCGTCTCCTGATTGTTGCACGATTTTGGCCTCCGATGGCCTACTTTTCAAGCTTAAGTGTGAAAAAGTGTATTTTTGGACTTAGTTTTCAAATCGGGAGTCCCGTGCTAGTTCCGTAAGTTTCCACAACTTACTTTGGTCCCTACCGAGGTGTTTGAGGTATTACTCGGGTTGTCTCGTGGTTGTTACACGATTTTGCTCGCCGGTGGTCTATTTTCAAGCTTAAGTGTGAAAAAGTACATTTTTGGACTTAGTTTTCGAATCGGGAGTCCCGTGCTAGTTCCGTAAGTTTCCACAACTTACTTTGGTCCCTACCGAGGTGTTTGAGGTATTACTCGGGTTGTCTCGTGGTTGTTACACGATTTTGCTCGCCGGTGGTCTATTTTTATGCTTAAGTGTGAAAAAGTACATTTTTCGACTTAGTTTTCAAACTGGGAGTCCTGTGCTAGTTCCGTACGTTTTCACAACTCACATTGGTCCCTCCTGAGGTGTTTGAGGTGTTCCCTGGCCTGTCTTATGGCTGTTGCACGATTTTGGCCTCCGATGGCCTATTTTCAAGCTTAAGTGTGAAAAAGTGCATTTTTGGACTTAGTTTACAAACCGGGAGTCCCGTGTTATTTCCGTAAGTTTCCACTGCTTATATTGGTCCCTCCCGAGGTGTTTGAGGTGTTACCTGGGCTGTCTCATGGTTATTGCACGATTTTGGCCTTCGATGGTCTATTTTCAAGCTTAAGTGTGAAAAAGTGCATTTTTGGACTTAGTTTACAAACTGGGAGTCCTGTGCTAGTTCCGTAAGTTTCCACTACTCACATTGGTCCCTCCCGAGGTGTTTGAGGTGTTACCCGGGCCGTCTCGTGGCTATTGCACAATTTTGGCCTCCGATGGCCTATTTTCAAGCTTAAGTATGAAAAAGTACAGTTTTAGACTTAGTTTTCAAACCGGGAGTCCCGTGATAGTTCTGTAAGTTTTCACAACTCACATTGGTCCCTCCCGAGGTGTTTGAGGTCTTTCCTTGGCCTTCTCATGGATTTTACACGATTTTGGCCTCTGATGGCTTATTTTCAAGCTTAGGTGTAGGAAAAATACATTTTTCGACTTAGTTTTCAAACCCCGAGTCCCGTGCTAGTTCCGTAAGTTTTCACAACTTATATTGGTCCCCCCCCCGAGGTGTTTGAGGTGTTTCGCAGGCCTTCTTGTGGCTGTTACATGATTTTGGCCCCCCGATAGCCTATTTTCAAGCCTAAGTGTTGAAAAAGTACATTTTTTTACTTAGTTTTCAAATCGGGAGTCCCATGTCTACCGAGGTGTTAAGGGTGTTCTCAGGCCTTCTCATGGCTTTTTCACGATTTTAGTCCCTGATGGCCTATTTTCAAGCCTAAGTATTGGAAAAGCACATTTTTGGACTTAGTTTGAAAAAGTGTATTTTTCTACATAGTTTTCAAACTGGGAGTCCCATCCTATATCCATGCATATATTATCATGACTTATGAAGATGTATTAGATATTTAATTGGTTATGTTTCTTTTTTTCTTTTTCTTTTTTTGATGTTGCATTTCCATTTAACATATATGGATTTTCAATAATGCTACAATAAATAAAACAATATACATGGGTTTTCTGTAGGTTCACCTGAAACCTCTATTAACAATCCATACAACAAATATAACATATTCGGGTTTTCAGTAGGTTCACTCTCAACCTCTTAAGACCATTATGGGTTTTCAGTAGGCTCACCCTTAACCTCGTCCACGTGTGTGATTGTGTACATGCGTGTGTATATATATATATCGATGTGTAGAAGATACCTGCTCGTCAATTCTTGTCTAAGGCCTTTGAGAAAAGTCACTTTAAGATCAAACTCGATTACAAGATCCACAAAATCTGAGGCCAAAACATTTAAAGAAAAACACAGCATCACTAATAAGTGTTCAAAGAAAAACATTCACCTAAACTTATTTATATTTAACATGAAGATAACACAAAAGTTAAGAGTTGTAACAGATCATAAGCAAGCCGTAGAAGGAAAAACCTCAAAAATTTAGTTCCATACACAATAGAGAATTAAGCAAATTTCATATCCAAAAGGAAATTTGTACCGCACCAAAAAGATAATCTGTACCGCAACAAAATTGATTGGCATTGCAATAAATTATTGACCCTTGAAGAAAATTAGCTAGTCAAACCTTAACAAATCTTACCTTCTTCCCAGCCTCAACTTGCTCAACCTCAGCACCAATAGCAAGAATCTGAAAAGGTGAAAAAGAGGATAGACCAAGCAAGTAGCTTGAAAAAGAAAAAACTTATAACCTGTGAGCATTTTAGTAAATGTAAATGGTTTCATATGTTGGGCATGAAAGTACAATTTCTAATGAGTTAGAAATTATAAAGATTGCATGGTGAAATAGGGATCTTCCTTTTCTCTTACAATTTACATTCGTACCAATTCTTCTTGAGAGGTTTCAGTTCAGCATTACAGCAGCAATTCCACTAACTTCAAACAAATTAATTAAGGTGAATGGACATATGCTAAAAAAAACATTGATCATACCACTGCAGATAAGGTTTCAACATTTGTTTCCTCAAAAAAAAAAAATATGTATACCTCAACAAGAGTTTTCCTTATGTATTTGAGCTTACAAGCTTCAATGATGATTCCCTTTACCTCTTAGAACTAGCAAGGCAACGTAGATTAAGGTTTGAAGTGTCACACATGCATGACGGTTTCTAAAAGATCTAAAGATAACACAAACTATATCATTGGGATTATTGCTCCTAATATTGATATAGCAACAAATACACTACCAAGACACATTTTAGGTGTTGTTTGTTGCTTTGGGTATTTCTTAATAAAGCATTGCATAATTGATGGCATATTTCTGGGTGCCTCTTCAATTGTCTAAAATAATGCTTCTTTTGCAGGTTCAATCTAAACAAAACGTCACCCTATCTTCCACACTGCTATACCAATCAAATTTATTTTTCTAGATTTACCAATGAGTGAACTAGTTGTTTTCATTACTATAATTTTTGTTCCCATATCATGGATCATGATTGGGGGGTTGTGATGTTAGTATTGGATGTTTAATTAGAAAAGGAGGTGACAAACTTATCTTGCAGTGATTATAGGTTGTTTGGATTCACTGATGAGTTACTTTACATAGGAAAGATTGTCATTAATAGATGGATTTTTAATGGCCCCTTAATAATTTTGATAATTCATGAAGGTGAAGAAGATGAACAAAAAATATACATGGTCTATCTAAGATCCCATTAAGATGTATGATTTCACATTGCCACAGAATCATGTACAAGGCAAAATCATTTTTGACAAGTCCAAACACGAGAACAAAAAATAGTCAGATATTGACAAAAAAAAAATAGTCAGATATTGAGCAATTGCACAATTTGGCCAGTACATTGCATTTTCATTATTGTGACTTCAGAATACAACAGAAGAAGTAGAAGAAGAAGATGAGTAGAGACAGAGATAATTTTTTGATTCTTGCATTGCATTAAACAGTTGGAAGGCGAAAGATGTAACAGGAAGAAATACCTAAATCAAAATGGGGAAATAGAGGAAGGGATAGAAACGGAGACACACACACACACAGAGAGAGAGAGAGAGAAATACCTAAATCAAAATCAATGGGTTTGAGACAGTAAGCGACGGTGAGTGACGGTGGCGATCATACAGTGTACCGATGGAGAGCGATGGGCAATTTGACAGGAGTGAGATCAAATAGTGGCGATGCCAGAGGAGGAGAAGGAGCTCCGATTGCCGGCGAACGCGAGGATGACCTGCAGGAGAGAGGGAGGGGAGAGGAGCAACGGAGACGGGGAAAGAGAGAGAGGGCATGAAACGAAGAGAGAGAGAGAGAGAGAGAGAGAGAGAGAGAGAGAGAGAGAGAGGGCTTTGCAAAATAGGACCTAATTTGGGCAAACAAAGTGGGTTCTTACTTATGCCTGAAACTACGTCGTTTTGCCTAATAAAATTATAGGAGACGAAATTATTTCCTCGCGGAAATTTTGTAAAATGGTGACAAAAATTTTCGTCTCTAAAATGACGCTCAAATATTCTGCCAAATTTTCCAACGGCGGGAATTTTTTTTGTGACGAAAAATAAAATATAGAGACGAATAAAATTTTCGTCACCTATTGTTTTATTGATTTTAAGCATTTGGTGATGAAATTTAGTTTTTCTCTCTAAAAATACTACAATTGGAGACGAAATCTTACTTTTATCTCTAAAACATGTATATTTGGAGACGAAATTTTTTTTCGTCATGCCTTTTTGTCACCAAAGACCTTTTTTGTTGTAGTGATTTTTTTTTTTTTTGTTTTTTTTTGTTTTGGTACTTCTGCTTCACTCTGTCTTTCTCTCTGCTTCAGCCTCAAATAAGTTTCTATATTCAAACTTATTTGAGTTTGAGAGGGAGTACTATACCTATATCGTGGTGAACATGGTAATACACCATGCAAACCACCTAAGCCATTTCCTGTGGTGCACAACTCAAGCTGCCTACTGTGGCACACTACCTAAGTCATCCCGTGGCGCACCATCTCAGCCGCTGCTTTGGCACACTTCCTAAGCTACTTCCTTTTGGAGAACTCCCTAAGCGGCCTCTTTAGCACACTCCCTATAAAGCCGTCTCATTTGGCGCACTCTCTAAGTCGCCCCATTGGCGCATCATCTAAGATGCTCCTTGGTGCACTCTCTTATAAGCCGCCTCTTGGTGCACTCAGTTATTTGTTGTCATCATCGTTTAGCACCATGTCATAAGTTATGTGTATGCCATGCTTGTTGGTTCAACATCCAATTCTCTACATTGGTTTTATATGACCCCTTTAAACTGTCCCAACATTGATTTTGGTTAGCCAATCTCCACAACGGTTCGGTATGACCCCCTTAAACTGTCTTGACATTGATTTCAGTCAGTTGCTACAATGGTCCGACATGACCTTAAAATGCCCCAGCATTAGTTCCAACCAGTTTCTACAATGGTCCGGCACGACCTAAAACTGTCTTGGCATTAGTTTCAGCCAATTCCTACAACTGTCCAACATGGCCATAAACTGTCTCCCGGCATTAGTTCTGGCCTCTAATATATTTCTATCGCCCTTGCGTTCTCGTTCGGATTTTGCAATCTATTTGCCTTTCATTTTTATTTAGTTTAGTTTCATGTTTTCGTTTCTCTCTCCAAACTCAAGATATTTATCCTCCTTGAGTTTGAGGGAGGATGTTAATATATATGCGGTATTCCTAGATATATTAGATATTGATTTTCTAGATATATTTGAGAATAGCCATAGTTAAGTTTCTTATAGGATACTATTTCTGATAGTAAGATTTTTAATAGGATACTATTTCCCAACCTATATATATACCGGCATTCTATTGTATATGATTAATTCATTCAATACAATACACTGAATGCAATACATATTATTTACTCTCTCTCTACTATTCTAACACTCACAACTATCTCACCAAAAACTAGTTTCGAATTGAAACCCCCCCCACTCTGCGAGTACATTGTAATTAATGAATGTACAAATACATCCAAATCAAATCCATTCTTAATTATGTTACAATGCGCTTCTCTCCCTTCCATCAAAGCTGAGAGGATAGCACAAGATCGAACCACGGAAGGAAAAGTATAGCTGTCAGGTAATAATCCAATTCGATGCATGTCTCTATAAAGAACTATGGCTTCTTGACAAGGACCCAGATCGGCATAACCTCGAATCATGGTGTTCCAGAGAAATAAATCCCTTTCAGGTATTAAATCAAACAGTTTGCGAGCATAGTCCATTGTTGGGGCCACGGAGCGAACTAAGGTGATGAGTTTCGTAGATAAAAGGAGGTTTTTGTGGGACCCATTTGTGAGGATGAGAGCATGGATTCGTTTGAGGTCTGAAAGAGAGGAACAAGAATTCAAAAGGTAGTTAAAAGGGAGGGAGTGGTAGTTAGTATAAAAGTGAGATGGGCATACAAAATGGGTTCAAGTTTTTTAAGAACTGTGAGAAATGAGGTGTCTAACATCAACTTCACATCCCTTTGATAACAGAGCAACTGTGTTTTTGGGATATCACGTAGGGTGCCTAAATGTTCTTTTCCCTATTGGCAATATGGCTTTGAGTCATTAAAATTAGTTCAAAAAAGATCCACTCTAGTTGGGGCTTTATCTACAATCAAAAGAACCACACCAAAAAAAAAAAAATTAAGAGTAATGCTGAGAGTCACAAATTTGACCAATAATTTATTTATAATGTGGTAAAAAAATTGGATTCTCAATTATTGGATATGTAACAAATTAAAAGTTAACACTTATCCTAACACATAGAATTGTGAAAGTTTTTTTGAAGTCTCAAATATTTTAATAATAATAATAATAATAATAATAATAATAATAATAATAATAATAATAATAATAATAGTAATAGTGCCAAGTTTCATAATCATCACTCTCTCCTCTACAATAACTATTAGGGTAAATTAGATTCAACTTTCTTTGGATTTAGAGAAAATAAAGTAAATTTCATAGTTTTGACATAATTATATTAAGTTCCTTTGCAGTTTTAATTAATATAACACCTAGTTTTATTTTCATCAATAATTTGTCGGTTATATGAATAAAAAAAATGATATTGTCATATTTTTTACACGAAAATATTTATTTTAAGTTGTATAATTTTATGTTTTCACACTATCTGCATTAGTTTCATTATAGCGATCCCGGGTTTACCCTTGTTATACCGTGATCCGGACATGTGTCCGTGGATGTTGGTAGTTGTTTATTATCTTGTTTACATCCTTCCTTACTTTGTATTTGAGTTATAGGATGTGTTGGGCGGGTTGGTTACAGGTTGGTTGAGTTAGAAACCAAAACTAGTTGCCCAGATTTTTGGCCTGTCCGCTCGAGCGGAGGTGTTGGCGCTCGAGCGGGGAAAAAATACAAAATCTTATAAATTACTAAGGGTGCTCGCGGTTTGGCGGTTCGGTTGCGGCCAAAGGAACCTCAAATCCGCCATCCGTCCGCCAAATTGGCGGATTGGAGAAAATCAATCCGCAACCGTCCGCTCGTCATCACGCATCCGTCCAAAATGCGGCGGATCGGTTCGGTTCGGTCGGTTTTGGCGGATCGGTATATCCGCTGCTCACCCCTAATCAACGCTTGTCTTATTTGTTGGGTTTAATGTTATTATTTTGAGGGCGTTACATTCATTCCATTTAATCTTATTAAAAAGAAGATTAGCGTAATTATATCAAAATTGTGGAGCTCTTTTTTTTTTTTTTTTTTGAAAGTTAATGTAATTCACCCTAAATTTTAAGTTGTCTTTTTTTCTAAGCTTAAATTTGAATTTGAGAGAATTTTTAAGGTCTGTGGGGTTCACCATGAATCCTATTTAGATTATTTGAATGTTCATTTTGTAAGATTCTTAATATGTATATTATCCATAAAAATTTAAAAAAAAATTAAGTCAATTCGATAATCCTAGCATTTTCATTTTATGGCGTTTGTTTCTAAAACATAGATAACAAGTATGTTTTTGAAAATTGAACATTCATTTTTTGATAATAAATACGATAAAATGAAAAGACTAAGATTATTGGATTGACCAAATTTTTTTTATTTATGAATCATACACACGGAGGGACCTATAAATGAATAATCCGTATCATTAAAATGGGACGTGTGATGATTATCCAGAGGCTCCTCGAATTGAACTAATGTGTTATCTAATATTTAGGTCCTCTAATACTACTTTGCTTCTTAATTTTATAGTTGTCTTAGTCAATCTCAAGCTTGAGTTCATGTCTTATCATTTTTTTTTTTTTTTGGATCAAAGAGGTACTAATTACATAGAATTGAAAGAAAGAAACCCAAAAAGAGCCGAAGGATTCATGTTGTGGTTGGCTAATACTTCAAGTGTTTTTTCTGTGGATTCAGTTTGGAAAAAACTGCAGTCTCTTGGTGGGCCCATGGTTAGCATTTCAAAGTTCCTGTGGAGAAATTCAGCACCTCCAAAGGCTCAGTTTTTCAGTTGGTTAGTTTGGAAGGGGAGATTGAAGACTAAAGACTTCATGCATAGGATTGGAGTTCTGTCTACCAATGATAGTTGTCTATGTGTGTTTTGCAAGGCAGAGGTGGAAACAATTAATCATGTGATGTTGTTATGTCCATTAGTGTGGAGAATATGGTCTGACTTGGTAAATTGGTGGGAGGTAAAGTGGGCAACTCCAAGTTCTGTGAAAGTTTTGCTGCAATGGTGGTCTGGTATGAAATTTGGAAAGGAATTAGAAATTTGGAAGGTTATCCCTTTGGCCATGTTTTGGTCCTTGTGGAAACTAAGAAATGATTGTTTATTTAATAATGGTAAGGCTGATTTTGCAGAGATGGTGGAGCTTTTAAAAGTCAGAATTGCCTTATGGGTCAAGTCAAATGTTAAGGGTATCAATTACTCAGTGCATGATATTGTGGCAAACTTGAAGTAGGTGAGAGGTTGTCTGGTATAGGAGGTATGCTGTTGTATGTTGTTGTATGACAGGTTGCTACATGTTGTTGCTTTGAGGTCAACTAAATGGTGCTGTGTGGTGCAGGGGAAAGGGTACACATCATATAAGTGCAGGTCTGATGCTGTATGCTACTAATGTATGATGCTGTGTGGCTACTGGTTGACTTGTTGTTGGTAGTTTTGGGCTGCAGGGGAGTTGTATGGATTATGCTGCGAATGTATGATGTTGTGTGGCTGCTGGTTGACTTGCTGTTGGTATTTTTGGGATGCAGTGGAGCTGTATGGTTTGTTGTTTGTTGTATGCTAAGCAGGGGAGTTGTATGGTTGAGTGGCTGCTGGTTGTCTTTGAGGTCTGCTGAATGGAGCTCAGGTCTACTGAATGCTGTGTAGCTGCTGGTTGTCTTGCTGTTGGTAGTTTTCAGCTGCAGGAGAGCTGGTGCAGTTTGCAATATTGGATGAAGAGATGGAGATGTTGATGCTGCGGGACTGAATTGATATTGAGTTTGTTAAGCGCTACTGCTGTGATGGACTTTACTGTGTTGTGCTGTGCTGTTGGTGAATTTGCTATGTGGGTGTTTTGCTTCTTGGATGCTCAGTTATGTTTTGGCTGCAAATCTTACTAATAGATGCTAGACTGATATGCTTAGTTGATGTGAGGCTTGGGTGCTGGTGGTGAAGCTGCAAGGTATGTTTTGGTGCTGTACAGTACAAAAGTGAAGATGATATGGTGAAGAGGGGCTACTGATGTTGTTTTTTATTTTGATGCTGGGTCTACTTGGTGAAAAGAATATATACTTTATGGTGGTTGATCTGTGCTATTACCTGTTGCTGATGTTTTTGATTTGAATTGTCCTGTTGTAGTGTTGTTTGCTAGTTTTGGTTTGTCTGGTGAGGTTGTTTTGGGTGTTTGTGGTTGGTCCCTCACCAACCCTTGATGGTGTGCTTGCACATGATTGGGGCGGTCTTATTGGTGCCAACCTAGTTGGAATTGATTTGGCTCGCTATGATACTTTTTGCACTCATCCTCTTTTTTCCTTTTTCTCCTTCATTGATGTATTAGATTTTCCTCTTCATCAATAAAGTTTATTTTCTTTGCTGATCAAAAAAGAGCCGAAGGAGTTCAAGTCTTATCATTTCATAATGCAATTTTTACTTCCATTATTTTCTCTTATCAATTGTGGAAAAAAAAGAGAAAAAAAAAAGATAGAAAGAAAGAGAGGATTTTACTTTTTTACCATGCAATTTATTTCACTTACCAATCACTCCATTGAAAGTAAGCCCATAACCCTGTGTTTAATTTAACCTTAGTATAATTAGATTTGGAATTATTTGCAAATTTTTGTACTAGAGATTATCCTTGATTTAAATTTAAGTAAATTATGATGCAAACTAATAATTAGATCCGTGTAAACAATAAGAGAGATTAGATTTGTTTGAGTGTAATAAATATGCAAAACTACGTAACTTAATTTGGTCGTGTGGTATCTTGAGAGGTGGACATTTCAAACTCATGTGGGGATCAGATTTTCAGATCAAAATAAAAAAATAAAAAAAGGGAAGAAGAAAAGAAAGTAAACTTACATAAAGTAAATTCCAGATACAAAATCTGCTCAAAATTAGTGTTGGACGCTATCTTTTTAATACAAAATTCTTCTCTCACTACAACGCTCAATGGAAACATTTTGAGTGTTGGCCTGGTGAACCAAACAAATGACTGTACTCTTAGACTTGCAGACTGAATGATACCAAGAAAAAGAAAATTGAATGAATGAATATGTCGGAAAAGGATGATTTTATAGACTTTCTTATACCTATTTGGAGCAATCACGAAGCTAAAATCATACATGGTCATAGCGAAAAAACACACGAGTTTTGATTTTTTGAAAGTAATTAATTAATAATTTTATCCAATATATATACAAACTACTCTCACTTAACCTGACCCAACTTGGATAGGGATAGCACAAGCACGCATTCACTACAAAAAAATACACTTTTGGCAACTAATGTTTTAGTCGCCAAAAGCATTGATTTTAGTCGCCGAAATGATTTGCCGACCAAAAATTTTGGTCGCTGGCTTTGTCGCGGATACATTGTCGATGAAGGTAGTCGCTAAAAATCCAACAGAATGGCGACTAATCTTTTAGTAGGCAAAAGAGGCAGCTATTAGCGACTAACAATGCTTTAGTTGCTAAAAATCCAACAGAATGGCGACTAATTTTTAATTGGCACAAGAAGCAGCTATTAGCGACTAACAGTGCTTTAGTCGCTGATGATTCATATTGGCGACCAAGATATTAGTTTCCCAAAGGGTGCATCAATTCATTTAACTCACCTAAGAACAGCAGAAGGCTTTCTCCTCTCACTAACACACAAAACAAGCTAAAACATTAATTAGATTTCTAGTATTATAGATTACTAATCACATAAACAGAGAGCTCCGAGCTAGGAAATATTGTTCCATTGATTACAAAATTTCTCAATTATCCAAATTCCATAAAAACAGCTTTCTTCATTGAACCAAAAATTAAAATAAAAATAAAAATAAAAACATTTCACATAATTGTGGAATTTACATGATGAGGTCTATATACATTGCTTGAATTGAAGATACCAATTCTTTAGGATTTTGTATCATATCCCATGTTTGAAATGGTTTTGGATTAGGAGGGGATAGTACAATCCTATATTATTCTATCACATGCTTGTTTGAAATTACTAGACATTTACTACATGGTGTAAAACATAGATAGGGTCCATACATGTTTTACTACATGGTGTAAAACATAGCAGGGGTGGAGAGAAGGGGGGGTCAGAGGTGTCTTAGCCCCTTCAAACTTTTGAGAATCCCACTTTTATGTGAGGCCAAAAAAATTTTTAATGAAAAAAAAAAAAAAAAAAAAAGTGTTCTCCTTGTCAAAAAATTTTGGTATTTCATGATGAAGAAGGTTGTTTCAGAGAATTTGATTCCTTGGTTTTGTTTGATTTCAGATACTTAAGGGTCCTCTCTTTCTCTCTCTCCTCATTTTCTTTTCTGGGCTCAAGGATCCTTCATAGTTCAAGTAATTCCTCTATCTCTTGCACAAGTGCCATTAATAGAGGCTTGGGCTGGACACTGGACGCTGGACACTTTAGAATAATAATTGTACTCCATCATTTGACTGTATCATGAAAGAAATGAAATTTTTTTTTTCTCAAAGTAAAACCAAAAGTGGGGAAAAAGTAAATCAGAAATCATCAGTAAAGCTGGTAAATGAGACAAAGTAAACAATAAACTATCCAATAGCACAGTTTCATGTGTTAAATGCAACTAAAAATGAAGCAAAAAACTAACTTTTAATGATCTGCTAATCTTTAAACCAACTTCAGGAGGTAGAGACGAGTATACACGCTTTGTTTTCCGCCTCACTTTCAACTTTATGTCTAAATTGTCTACTTCATCATCTTCCTTTACATTAAATGGAGAACTAAAAAAGCATACACATATAAATGAGCTTTCAATAGACAGACATTAAAAGTAGATATATATTGAGCAAAAAGGATATATAAAACCTGCATATATATTGAGCAAAAAGCCTACGTAAGAAGATAGAATACCTAGTTGCTTACTTGCCTTTTTTTTTCTCTCCCCCTTGTTGTTTGATTGATTCATTGTAGCAATGATTCAACTTAAAAACGATAAGAAATACAATATTCAAGAAGGTATAATATAGGCTCTGACAGGAACAATACATAGTGTTGGAAAATTTAAATAAAAGTGAGAATCAGTAAGAAAATAATTACATAGAACGGGCTTTCTCCCATGGTTGTTCATCAATTGACTCTTCCCATATGACACAATCTCCTGAGCATTGATGACAAGTCTTTATACCTTATTAGAATTAGGGAACCAAAATTAAGTGCAGGGCCAAACAAATAAAAAACATATACACAAAGAGCAATGTCTTAGTACTACCAAGATATTACCAACATACTACAACCTACACACTATTCAATGCAAATCCAAATCTAGTCATAATACTTGAAGAAGATATTAGGAAATGGGGGATGTGACAATATTTTGGTGGAACCCAATGAAGTCTTATTTGGGGTTAGAAGTGTTGGAAAAATATTGTATATGCTACACTTTTGACTCTTTGGACATACTTATAATGCCAAGAATTGCAGAATGTGCATATATAGCTTTATCTGGTTTTTAAGTAAAAAGAGAAGTTAGCATTGATTGGACCAACTAATCTGAGGAAATCAGAAATCGAGAATCAGAAATCCAAAATCGAGAATCATCACAGCATTCAATTTCCTAACAATAAACCGAGGCACATTTGGTCATATAGCTCAACAATCCAAAATCGAGAATCAGAAATCCACAAATCGAAATTTCAACCACCCATTCACGAAATCAGAAAAAACCCTAAAAATGTTGATTACGAAATCGATAGAAAATGAAAGAAAACAAACATTTAAAAACCCTACAGAAATCGTGAGCCACGGGGATGGGAGAGACAGCGAGAAAAAGATACAAACAGATAGACACAGATCGACAGAGAGGGAGAGAGATGAGAGAGAAATACCTATAATCAGTGGTGGGGCCGATTTGCAGTGGTCGTGGTGGTAGCGCCGGTGGCCAACGATGGTGATGATCGACGGTGGTCAGCGGCGCTGAGCTTTGGTATCGAGTGCTCTGTATGGTGTGTGTGAAACAGAAGAAAAATAATTCTTTGTTAAATATAGGCGCCAATATTAATGAGTTTCCCTCTAAAAAAAATTGGAAGCTTTAGCGACTAAATCATTATTTGTCGCCAAATATGGTTAACAGCGACTAAAATTGGTCGTCAAAAATACTCCCAATTTTTGGCGACAAAAAGTTTTTGTTGCAAAATGTTATCATACAATGGCTAAATTAAATTTTAGTAGCGTAAAATGGTTGAAAACAGCGACTACAAACAACTTTGGTCACCAATAACACTATACACTAAAAGAATTTAGTAGCTAAAAATATGAAATGAATGCTGACTAAAATTGATTTTTGGTCGCCCAATACACTGTTTTTGGCGACTAAAATTGATTTGGTCGCCAATTTTAGTCGCCAAATGTGCAATTTGTTGTAATTATTCTAGCCCATTTTATTAGATTCTCCCCCATCCACAAAATTTAAGTGCCCTTAGGGGCCTAACTCCAAGTTGAAAGTTAGACTAAGCCAGCAAACTTTTCATCTACAAAATTTGGATTCCCAAGGGCCTAACCCCAAGTCAAAGGCTGAATAAAGTTAACAAACTTTTAATAAAAAATATAGCTAGCATTTTTCAATCAATATGTAAACAATGATTTTGGAATTAATTTCTGGTTCATTCCTTAATGATTTTGAGCAAATTAAAGTTTGATATGCAACAGGTGTGTGAAAGCCACTTTAATTTTTGTTCAAAATTGTGTGTAATTAATATGCTAAACTATGTAAGACCGTGTGTTATCTTGAGAGGTGGACATTTCAAACTCATGTTGGGATCAAATTTTCAGATCACAAAAAAAATAAAATAAAATAAAATAAATAAATAAATAAATAAAAAGAAAAGAAGAAAAGAAAGTAAACTTACATAACGTAAATCGTAGATACAAAATCTGGTCAAAATTAGTGTTGGACGCTAGCTTTTTAATACAAAATTTGTCACATTGTAAAGATCAGTGGAAACATTTCGAATGTTTGCCTGGTGAACCAAACAAATGACTGTACTATTAGAAACTCAGAATAAATGATACTAAGAGAAAGACAATTGAATGAATGAATATGCCAGAAAAGGGATGATTTTATAGACTTTCTCACACCTATTCGAAGCAATCATGAAGCTAAAATCATGCGAAAAAACACACGAGTTTTGATTTTTTGAAAGTAATTAATTAATAATTTTATCCAATATATATATACACAGACTACTCACATTTAACCTGACCCAGCTTGGATAGGAGTAGCACAAGCATGCATTCTAGCCCACATTACAACAAAATACACCTTTGGTGACTAAAACAAATTTAGTCGCCAAAAGTTGTGGAATTGGTGACCAAAAATTTTTTTAGTCGGCAAAAGTACAATATTTAGCTACTAATTTTTTTTAGTCGGGTATATTGGTTATTGGCGGCTAAAAAAAAAATTAGTCGCTAAAAATACCAGAATTGGCGACAAAAAAATTATTTTAGTCGCCATATATTGAGTTTTTGCTACTAAAACTATTTAGTCGCCGAATATAAAATAAAAAATTATTTTTTATCTTTAGCGACCAAAAATTTGGTTGCCAAAAATACATTTTCAGTGACTAAATTTTTTTTCGCCAAATAGTTAGTTTTGGCTACTTAAATTATTTAGTCGCCGAATGAAAAATAAAAAATTACTTTTATCTTTGGCGATTAAAAATTTGGTCGCCAAAACTTTCTTTTCAGCGACTAAAATTATTTTAGTTGCCAAAGATCTAAAATATTTAGAGGAAAATATTTCAAATTTTGGAGGGGCTTATGAAATTAATTAACCTTTGCCGACAAAAAAACCAATTTGGTCGCCAACGGTGTAACGCCCCACTAACCCATGCACACAACCATGTAGGGCCACTTATTCTGGCACGAACGCGATGATTTATAGGTGGAGGAGTTTGTTACACCCTGTCCCACATCGGAAGTTTGCATGGGTAATCTTAGGCATATAAAGTACCACTACCTTGCTACTAAGTAACTTGGGCTTAAACTTTTGGGTATTGTTGGTCAACCTACAAGTTACTTGGGCTAGCAAGTAGTGGGGCATTATAAAAGGTGTGAAAATTTTAGACAAAACAGATGGTTCTCTGTTTAGACAAAACAGATTCTCTGTTTGTCTCACTCTCTCTCTTTTTCCCTAACCCAAACAAACCAAACAAAAATGGAGAAATTAGAAAGAGAAGAGTACTTGTTCAAGATAGTGGTGATTGGAGACTCAGCGGTGGGAAAATAGAACTTGCTCTCGCGATTTGCAAGGAACGAGTTCAATTTGCACTCAAAAGCCACAATGGGAGTAGAGTTTCAGACCCAGGTGATGGAGCTTGATGGTAAGGAGATCAAAGCCCAGGTCTGGGACATCGCCGGCCAAGAGCGCTTCTGCGTCGTCACCTCTAACTACTACAGAGGCACTGTTGGAGCTCTCGTCGTCTATGATATCACTCGCTGGAGTACTTTCGATTGCATCAAGCGGTGGCTCGATGAACTCAAGAGTAAGTTGATGATATTTTAATTGATCTATTTATTAGTTGCTTTGTTTTGTGGGTTTGATTGCTTGTTATTGAAGTTGTTGCTGTGAATTTGAATTTGTGTTCGAATAACCATTTTGGGTGTTTTAATGATTTTGAAATTGAAAGCCCAAGTAGTGGATTTTTCTGGATTTTGGTCAATTCTGAAGAGTAGTAACGTGGGTGTTGCTTGATTTTGCTTTACTTTGTTTTGTGCTAGAATTTTTTAGGCCATGATTGGATGCTCTGAATTAGAAATTAGTCGATTATATTCAATTCTTTGCTTGAACAACATTTTTCTAGTATTAAATAAAAGTAGGCATACACTCATAATAGTCCCCTACCTTCTTCTTGAACTTATAATTAAGGGATATTGTTTATCATATTCGTCTTCTTGTTTTTGACTTGACAGTTGATAGGTAACACACCACTCGTGTACCTCAACAACATTGTGGATGGTTTTGTTGATAATGGCTTATTATTTATTTTGCTTGTAGGTGGTTTATTGGCTGTAGGTAGCAACTTGGCCTGGGCATACTTACAACAAAATAATTTCAAATCCTTGGAAAAGCTTTATTATGCAACAGGTTATTTATTTTGGTGTACGAAGAGCATTTGTTTTGTATATGGAAGACATTTATTTTTGTACAATCCTCTATTTTGGAAATTCAGTGTTTTTGTATGTAATATTTAATTTAGATGGATTATACTTGGTTGGTATGGATTTGTATGATATTTGGAATATGATGTCACAAGTTAAAGTTTTTGGATAGTTGATAATGAAATGGGTATTATTGATAATGGATGTAGATTATAATTGATAGATGGGAGATTTTTTGATAAATCCACTTTCTAAGAGCTTTATTCCATCCAACCCATATTCTTTTTGACTATTCCATTAGGTCCTATTTGAGATAAGAAGACCAAAATACCCTTTTCATCTACTTATGTTCCATTTAATTCACATTATTTTCTTATGTTTCAATAAGTCCTATGGGTGACATAATTACCAAAATACCCCTAATGTGAATGTTCACACCGTCAATGTGAATGTTCATATCGTCAATGTGTAGGGGCCTGGTGTCACGACCCAAACCTGGCCCTATGGGTTTAGCACCGTAACCGGCCAGTAATCTGAGATTACCGAAGGCCTGCTTAACAGTAATACAGTAAAACAGAGTACAGGGCCTAGCGGAAACCAAAACAATAAATAAACAATGTCCAATGAGCTGTGACAGACTGTATGCAAAAAGACTTTTCATACATATATATATATACATTCAGTACAGGAAAGTATACACAATATATACAATCATTCAGAATAGGGACTCAATCCCTTATATAACAGTACAGTACAGTGCTATCAGTCTATACAGTTTACAAAACAGGTACAGAGACAGAATGGGGAATAAAAGACCCCTAAGCCATAGCGGAAGCCAAAACAATAAATAAACAATGTCCAATGAGCTGTGACAGACTGTATGCAAAAAGACTTTTGATACATATATATATATATACATTCAGTACAGGAAAGTATACACAATATATACAATCATTCAGAATAGGGACTCAATCCCTTATATAACAGTACAGTACAGTGCTATCAGTCTATACAGTTTACAAAACAGGTACAGAGACAGAATGGGGAATAAAAGACCCCTAAGCCATAGCATGGCAGGCTTGGAACCTCGCAGTGAGGCACAGTAGTTGGCTTGACAAAACTGGAGTTTACCCCGACGCTTCTAGCTGCGTTCTAGTGCCTGTACACCTACATATATATATGAGCAGTGAGCTAAAGCCCAGTGAATAACACAGTGCGTAAAGGGGTTAAGAATGAATGTCCTTACAGTAATGAAAACAGTTCATTGATTCAGTATATCAATCATTCAGTCATATGTGGTACATCTCTTAGCATAGCAGTACAGTAAATAGTAGGTCTTAAAAGACCGAACAGTAAATGATGGCCATCAGTCAGTAAATAGTAGTGGTTCCAACGAGGGAACCAACAGAGATCTCTATAACAGTAACAGTCAATAACAGTAGGTGCTAAGGATGCCATAATACAGTTCAGAATATAGGACATACATTCAATCAGTTAACAGTAATCAGTTCAGAAAGCAGTACAGTTCAATTGTTCAGAAGATAATCATTTTTGAACATATCTTTACACAGTTGTTACTCACAGAGTTCTGGGCTACAGTAAGCTAGAGCGCGTCCCCAGTCGCCAACCCTACACAGTTTACAGAATGAACACACACTAAGCTACACAGTTGGGAAAGATAAGAACTTAATCCCTAATTGCCTCGGTGTGTTCTGCATCTATATCCTCAACAAGATGTCTTAAACTAGGCCTAACAAGATGTCTTAAACTAGGCCTAAGAATGCCTAGGATGGGATGAGGTTGCAAAGATGTGATCAGAAAACAATTTCAGGATTTTCAAAAAAACAGAGTCCCGCTCGAGCTCAGGTTTCCCCGCTCGAGCGGACATGCAACAAAGGTACACGCTCGAGCGTCAAATCCCCCGCTTGAGCGTACTGTAAAAGTACTGGATGGGTGAAATCTCTGCCCGACGACGCTCGATGCCTACTCGAGCGTGATACACATGCCTCCGCTCGAGCGTCCAATCCTACGCTTGAGCGGACTGTAAAACAGTGCCAAGATGCTGGTTGCTCGGATTCCCCGCTCGAGCGAGAGTGCAAAATCTGGAAAACCCAGATTGCACCTTCAAGCCAAAAACCAAGCTTAAATGCATCAAAACCTATCCTCTTGGGCCCATTTTCTGGAAAACTCTTATAAACTCATAGTTAAACACGATTCAAAACTCAATTTGAGAAATCAAAGCCCAAGGGTGTTTAATTCAAACTCAGTTTCAAACCAATTTCATGAATAAGAAGAACAGGCAAACATGCATGAATTCAAACCAATTCAAAGCTTCGATTTCATGCTCTAGGGAGCCAATTGCTCCAAAAACAAGATGAAAACATGGTCCTAAGCATTAACATGGACATGCATGCAAAAATCCATGAAGGACAACCTCAAAAATGCAAGAGTATGCCATGCATGCAACAATTAAGCTTCAATTCCACAATAATGAACCAATTCTAGACTTAAATCACTAGAGGCTCAAGAATCTTGCATGAATAAGCTTAAATACAACAATGAGAGGTTAAATTCCTTACCTAGAGCTTCAATTACAAGTGTAGAAGTCCAATTAGGCAAATCTCCTAAGATCTCTTCAAGTCTTTCAAGCCAATTCTCTAGAACAATTCAACTCTCTCACTTCCTCTCTCTCTAGTTCGGTGGTGTGCTCAAACAAGGCTGAGGAAAATGTTTTGATCTAAGTGTATACAAGGCTCAATATGTTGAGGTAGTGGCCACTAAGTGGCACTAATGTAATTTAGTCAAACTATGCAATTTAACTCAGTTTAATCTAATTTAATCATACCTAATCAGTTTTCATGTAGTTACACCATAAAATCACATAATTCTACTGATCATGAAACATCAATCAATTTCTAGTTCGGCCGCCGATAAGGCCTTCAATTTGCAATTTCACCATAAAAACATGAACAGATACTCAAACAGTCAAACAGATAAATGCATAATTAAACAGATATGCTCAGTCAATTCAGTTCTAGATTTCAGTCAGTCAGTTCAGTATTTCAATCAGTTCACTTATTAGTCATAATCAGTTCAGTTTAACGGTAATCAGTGGTTATTCGGTAAACAATGGTGAGGGTTATTACAATCTCCCCTCCTTATAAAGAGTTTAGTCCTCTAAACTCGAGTTACCTTCATTCTAGAAGAAAACAGGGTTTAGTGGAAACAGTTCAGTATATCTTTTAGCCATGTTATCTTCCCTTTCCCAAGTGGCATACACGCCACCATGGTTTTGCCAGTCGACTTTCACTAGCGGGATCTCTTTGTTTCTCTACTTCTTGATCCGTCTGTTCACAATCTGTATGGGTCGTTCCTCGTAAGTGTAGTCATCACTCAGCACTACACGAGTAGGCTCTATGACATGGAAAGGATCCCGGAGGTAGTCCCTTAACATAGAAATGTGGAAGACGTTATGCATATGCTCCATTTCAGGAGGAAGCGCAACTTGATACGCCACCGGATTGATTTTCTCAATAACCTCGTACGGTCCGACATATCTTGGCCCTAACTTGCCTTTGACTCCGAAACGAGTCTGGCCTTTCATTGGTGTCACTTTCACAAAAACGTGATCACCCACTTCATACTCTCTGTCCCGTCTTCTGACATCTGCATAACTTTTCTGTCTACTCTGTGCAGTTTTCAGTCTTTGCTGTATCAGTTTCACTTTTTCAGTTGTTTCATACACAATCTCGGGCCCAAACAAAGGCCCATCTCCAACTTCTGCCCAGCAGATTGGAGATCTACATTTTCTGCCAGGATGGGATGAGGATGCAAAAAAAAACTTGGAAACATTTTCAAAAACTTGCTGAAAACAGGGTCCACTCTCAAGCGTGGTTTTCCTCGCTTGAGCGGACATGTGAAATGTGAAGTTCCGCTCGAGTGCGACTTTCCTCGCTCGAGCGGACTGCAATCTTCGAAAAAGTACTGGATGCATGATTTTCACGCTCGACGGATGCTTGACCTCCGCTCGAGCGTGAGACTCAGACCTTCGCTTGAGCGTGACTTCCCTCGCTCGAGTGGACTGTAAAACATATGAACTTCTAGGTATATGCATTTCACGCTC